TTGATATTACAATCTATAATTGTTCTTACTTTGAATGGTGTGTTGCGGGGCCTGGGGGCAGTAGCATTCATAATCTTTTCATTGCTTTGGCCTCTAAAGAGCTTCAAATTCCCTCCCCAGGGGCTCCAGGCAACCTGAAAACTATTACTTCAAAAAGGAAAAAAAATGTATAGAGACCCCACCCTTCTTAGATCTGCCAGTTTAAGGCCTGGTTTCAGAGAACTCCCTATGCCCTTGTGCTCCATGCTTCCTGCCATAGGAAGGAGGAAGTGAAGATCCATTTAGCACCTTATGACTGGTGAGAAATAGCTGGTGGTTAATGAATCAATGCAAAGCATTTTTCAGATACTGTTTTCGTTCCTAACGTCCCATTTTCATCGGACGAGAACAGAGATCCCAGGGATTGATAGAAAGCATGTCAACATCCCACAGTGGAGAAACTTAGTCTTTTTCTCCAGCCACGTGGGGACACTTGGGCAGGTGAGACCATCATATGGATATTCATTCCAGCCCCAGCCTGTGGCCCTTTGCCCTTTGCAGAGATGCATTTGTTTCAAATTAAGCAATCTCCTTGGAGCACAAGTTGTTACAAATCACTCTTTCCCCCTCATGGGCTTCTTTGGAATTATCCCAGAGCCTATTTCTTTTCATTTATAAGACAGTTTCTCCTCTTATTGTTTTGAGCAAATACCTGAGTACCTTTATAGATCTCTCTTTATTTGTCTGATGGTTGTTACTATCAAAATGGTCAAAACTGACAATTGTTTCCTTCTGAGACTTCCAAATCAAGGTTGTATAGTCAATCCAAAGGTGGATCACTAGGTTTAGAAATGTATTTTAAAATGTCCCTACAATGTACTGGAAACCCTTATGTTCCATAGTCACTTATTAAACTACATAACTCTGAGTCCTAGGGAAGGCCAGGGTGACAAGTGCAAATAGCCTGGCGACTGCTTCAAGGACCTGAGACTGGGATTATTAGTCCACAGGGTGTCTTGCTCGGTGCTGTTCAATATTTTCCAGCTTTGTTTTAATTATTTCACAGTTGAGGCCCTACAAGCTTTCCTGAAATAGAAACATTCTCTAGTGTTGCCTTGAGTTTCCTCTCATCTCTTTGGCCAGATTAGGACAGCATGCAGAGCAGGAGGGATGTGTCTGCCTACCTCCCTGGGGAGATGGATAATTGGCAGACTCAACTAGAGCTGTTGTGAATTAGCACTCTGCAGCTCTCCGACACCCACAAACCCACCACTTTGGCAGATTCTTCTGACATTTAGTGTTGACCCCACTTTATAGATGAGAAAATGGAGGTCCTGAAGTGTTAAGCCACTCCCTGAAATGTCACCAGTTTATAGATGAGAACCCAAGACTTGGGACCCTTGAGGTCTTATGTTGTGCTGCTTGAATCAGCCCCACTGGGCCTCTTCCACAGCTTTGAGTTCAAGCCTTCACCATGGCTAGATTACAAAGTTAGTTTAATCATTGTCATGAATACTCCTTTGTTGATTTTTCATAATATACACAGAAATCTTTACGTTTGGAAGACATTTCCAAAAATAAAATCCCTTTCCTAGCTTCACTATCTACTTACTATCTGATCAGTTTTCAACATGGAGCTTAGGGTTTCTGAATTTATCTAAACAGACAAGCAAAGTGCCCTACTCCATCTCCAGTCATCTAAAAGATGAAGAGATACAGAAAGCTGTTTTGGTTTTGTTTTGGGTACTATTTACACAGCAAAATGGGATTGAATAGTCACCCCATTTTCCTGAAAGGTCATATCCTAATAGACTTGCTAACAACAAGAAACCTGAACTCAAATGCAATCAGCTAAAAAAAAAAAAAAAAAAAAAAAAAAAAAAAAAAACAGTTGTGTGGTAATAGAAAGATGTTTTT